ATTGAATAACAGGAAGCTGAACTCATATGAATCATCCCTAATTAAGCCACAGTTAACTCAGAAGGTAGGTTCTGAAACACCCAGTGAACACAGGGAGCAGGTCTCTGCTTACCTTTCTCTGTCTCATCAGAAGATCTCTATACTCCACTCTGTTCTCACTAAACTCTCTACAAATGTCTGAACCTCACTTCTCTGCCTCCCTGCAGTTCCTTTGCTTTGCTTCGTTTCCTAAAACCTGACATGAACTTACGGAGAGCAAGTGGCTCCTGTAGCCCCTGCGTGTATCCCTGTCTTAATCTCTGAACATAGTTGCCATGGATTTTTACCATGTCTGCCTGCTCTAGAAGACTGTGACCCTCTTGGGAGTAGGAACTCTCTTCCTATCTTGCCCTAGCACAGGCTCTTCACTGCCACTTAGGATTTGAGTAAATAAACTGTACAAGATAATGTATGATGGGATAATTTTTTACTATTTGAGACCTGTTTTTCAAAATTAGTCCTGGGAGAGAAGAGCTAATTTTGTTCAAATTCTCAGTGGGCCATTTTTGTTTTGAGAGAAGGATTAGGAATAATAAAATAGATGACTAAATTACTCTGCATTCAAAAAGGCTAGTGCTATTTGGAATGGATAAAGAATATCAGGAAACAGAGAAGCTGGCCATGAGCACGGTGGGAATCTGGAGACCAAATAAAAGAGACAACCAGTAAAAATTCACTGGGCAGACAGAACTTTTGAAACGATTGTATGACAAGCTTATTAGGTTCAGCATAACCACCATTTAACTGGTGTCAATTATTTTTAAAAGTCATGGACATCTCTGTAAGCATCATAACAGCATACACAAATAGAGAACCATATATTTAAAAATCTACTCACTTTTCATGATAACAGCAAGGATCTTTCACATTTGACCTATGCACTTCTGTCCAACCTCCAGTTCTGCGCTATGGAATCTGGAAAGATAACCGAGAAGAGTAGGCCTTGCTGCTCCCCAGCCAGCTCCACATATGAAGCTATTTCTTCACCAGAAAACTGGTGTTCACAGCACCCCAGCGCTGTATTGCACAAACCATTCCTCATAGCTGTGGTCCAGGGAATATTGCCTCCCTCCGCCTCACTCCCCTTTTTTGGCCTATCCCAGAATAAAACAAATCAAGAATATCAAATGCCCATCATCTCCACCAAAATGTGCTCCTAAATCAGAGATTCTACACTTGAAAGGCAAGAAAAGAGGTCCAAAAGCTATGGGAAACCCCATCTAGTGCAAAGTGGAAAGAGTCCCTTGGCTTCTACCCACAGAGCTGGCTGGAGAAGCAGGCCTTAAAGACAAAGACGTCCACAGCTCTCCCTGAGGGTCTGACTTTATTTGGAACAGAGCAGGAGGAATGGTGTATCCATTGTCAAAACAATGCATATATTCCAAGTGAGCTGCAAAGAAGTGCTAGGAGTTCCACCCTATTGATAGCAACAAGTTAAACAGAAGAGCATCCGAAACTTCACCAAGAAAGTCAGGGGAAGAATGGCCAACAAGAACCTTCGAAGGTCACTGTCAAGCCTGGGGGTCAGAGAGGCTGTGTGCAAGCAACGTGCTGCACCTGCTCAGGAACAATCAGAGCAGAATGTGGGGCAAAAGCAAATGTACTCCTCAGACTTCACGCAGGAGCCTCAGCAAATCACTCAGGTCTTCTTAGTTCAGGAAGCTTAATATGCACACATTGAAACACTGACTGAGAGATAGGATATTCTAGGCCATGGAAAATTCCTAGAAATTTAGGCTTAAAAATTAAAATCACATGCATCCCTAATGGCCTAAAAGATTGTGCCTATGTCCAAAACCACACCCCTGTAAGGAGGGACTGAAGAAATATTTTCAAGCTACTAGTCCTGAGCTACTATGGAGTTAAATTATAAAATACAAAAACTATGAAAGCAATATCTATGTCATGTCCAATGACATAGGATGAAATTTTAACTAGTTACAGAAAGAGATACACCTTTTGACCGGTAGCTGGCTCATACTGACTTAGGAGCTCCCCTAACTTAGTTACATAGCTAAGCTAAAAGACAAAAACAAGAGAACAAAGCTAAGAAGGGACATTGAGCCTACACACTGTTGGGGAAATAGACTTTATGGAAGGTTCAGCCATGTCTCAAAACAAACAAGCAGCCCCATAGGAGGGGAGGAGAACAGAATTGCCACAATATATTATCTAAAATCCTCCAGCTTCCAACAACAAAATCACAAGACATGCCTAGAAACAGGAAATGTAACACATCCATGGGAGTTTTAAAAAACAGGCAAAAGAAATTGCTTTTGAAGAGATTCCAGATGCTACACTTAACTCACAAAGACTTCAATGTAGCTATTATAAATATGCTGAAATGATAAAAGGAACCCTGTTTTAAAATTAATGGAAGAGATCATTGACATTTTTTCATCAAATGTGCATTAATAGAAAGGTACAACTTATGAAAAGAATCTAATGGAGATTCTAAAGTTAAAAATACAATACTCAAATGAAAAAAAATAAATAAAACCTAAAGTAAAGCAGATTAGTTTCTCAGGGTCTCTCCAAAAAGATACCATAAACTAGATGGCTTAAATCAGATATGTATTGTCTCTGGAGGCTCAAATCTTGATCAAGACACCAACAGCATTGTCCCTTCTAAGGATCATGAGGGCAAAATCTGTTCCAGTGCCTTTTTTAGGGTCTGGTAGAATGCTGTCTTGGGTGTCCCTTGACGTCTGCATTACTTCAGTGTCTGCCTTCATCTTTACAGGGCATCATGCTGGTGTGTGCCTGGGTCCAGTACACCTTTTCTATAAGGATTCCAGTCATAGTGGATTTGGGGCTGACTGTACTGTACCACTACTTCATTTTAACTAATTATATCTATAATAACCTAATTTACAAAGAAAATCACGTTCTTTTGCTATTGGGGGCCACCTTTTGTAGTTCTGGGTATTAGTGCAGATGATGCAGGTTTGATTTGACAGAAGAAAGCCTCAGCAAACTTAAAGACAAATCAGTGAACTTAATGAGATCTGAAGCAACAAATATAAAGGGATATGTTCCATTATGGAAGATAGAAGACAAACTTGAAAGCAATCAATACAGTAAAAAATAGGAATAACAGAGAGAAATCAGAAAAATGAATATAACTTCAGAGAAATATGAGGCATTAAATATGCTAGCATATGACCATGAATATAACAGAAATAAAAGAGAGAAAAATACCTTCCAAAAATAGTGGCTGAAATCTCATTGAGTTGGAAGGCAGAATGGGAAGCAGAAAAATAGATGGAAGTCAGGAAAATAAGTGGAGGAGAAAATGGTTTTAAAACATTTTAAAACAGCAATGTCTATCTAGTTTTAACTTACATTACCTGCTGAGCTTTGTTATTTCATCACTGTATAACACAGCTCATCAAAAAAAAATCTACTAGAATCAACAGCCATATGTGATTAGTACTGGGGCAAATTAAGGAACAAAACCACTCACATGAAGAAGACAGCAATGAGTACAAGTAGTAAAATGAGAGAAAGATCAAGAAATTGAAGAATGAATTGAGCTGAAAGCAGCCAAAAATCTTCTGGTAACTACAAGAAACATTGGGCTTCATGGTATGCTTAATATGAAGTTCAAATCAATTTTACCTCTATCTTCAAGGACAAGGAAAACAAGCCACAGTGTGATTTTTATTATAAATGTTATGTCAAAAACGGGGGAGAAAGTAATTATCCAAACAGCTTTGAAGGCCTTATGGAAAGAGAAGAGCGTGGACTTAGTCGCTTTTTCTCAAGACAGCACTTACTTTCAATATAGGCTTAAACAATGAATTGCAAAGCTCATTAATGCAGATTCTTTCTTGCTTCAGATAAATGAGCATGTTCTTTTTTCTTTCAAGTTTATTTGTTTCACATAATGTTGTTTGCATCCTTAGGGCAAGAGGAGTAATTCAGATTTAAAACCAGCTTCTTCCAAGAGACCATTTCCCAGAGACCATTTCTCCATTTTTTCAATGTCCAAATTTCTGGGCCGTGGGCCTCCGTCACAGGGCAGCAAAACTTCAGACACACACAAGCAAAGAGCCATTCCAGACGGGTGTGCCACTGTCATCTTTGTAAAATTCTTTAAATTGTTTTACTTCATTCTGTTCAAGATGAATCCTACATGTAGAAGACAGAAACCCTTTAATGAAGCTCCCGTAACTCCCAGTTCTAGGAAGTCTGCGAGCAGTAAGCAAATACATGTGAGTGGGGATAGGAGCGAGGGAAACAAGCAGACGTCTTTCTTCACTTGAAGACAGTGTCACCACCGGGTATTTTATAATCTTAATGACATTTGCCACTGTACCAGTCCTCTTGTTCTATGTCACACCAGAAGAGCAGCCTTTTGCTCTAAAGAGAAACACCAGCTACAACACCATTTTTTCCTTTGGCACAGAAAGTTATTTTTCACAGGGCTGATCAGCAACTATGCCTGAAACTCAGAAAAACCAATGCACAGGTGAGAAATGGGCAGCATAGGATCCTTGACCGTGAGTTAACCTGAGGGTCGGGGAGTAACTGAAAGTGTTTGCTTCCAGGGGAGTTGAGAAAGACTAGTTAAGTTTGATGCAGAGGGTACTGAACTGGACTTTGGACACTTGCAAAAATTAATGTAAACTCAGACCCCTGACACCATTTACCCGGTCTACCATCTAACTTTGGTCCGTAGCCAAGTTAATTGTTGTGACCCTCCATTTTCTTCTATGCAAAAATGAAGATAATTTTTACCACACAATGTTACTCTGGGTCATAAATAAGGCACTGTTGGCTTAACATCTAATTTGTGCACGTTGGCTCTTTTTCCTACTTACAAAATGGGTGTAAAAAATCTTTACAAATAAAAGACTGACACTCCACATGAATTTTTAAAAGAAAGTGTATTTTTATTTCTAATAAACACTATGTGAAAAATTCATGACCATAATTCAGAATGGAAGGTGGTTTGAGCAAAGAAAGCAATTTTCAGTGTTCAGATAGAGTGGTGAAAATGCCTATTTCACATAGAGACATCACACCTAAAATCACATCCTGAAAATTAATTTAAAATGGTAGCCATATCTTATTAAGAGACAGTCAGTCACAGAGCCCTTGCAGATCCCTTCATAGATGACAAGTAGTTCTCTCCCCTCTTGCAGTAGAATGGGCTCCTCTGTTAGATTTTTTGCTGGTTGTATATTTGTTTTCTGTATGAAAACAGAAGGCAAGGGGTAGAGGTTATATTTGTGTTCTGGTCCTAAATGACACTGTAAAAATTTTCTGCAAGTAAAATTTACTTCATTAGCCCATATTCAAACAATAGTCTAACAAATCCCTTTAGCAAGACTAGAGATTATACCTAAAGTGGATTTTACATAGAAATGCTGTTTTTAGGGACCACCATGGGACTGATAGTGAATAACCGAATAGTTTAGAGTCAATTTGAAATGGTTGGGATTTGGAAAGTAGATTGTTTGTGCTTCCTAATGAGTCAACATCCACTGCTCACTGTGTGAAGAGGCAGAACATCAAGGATTCTGAATAGCACATTCAAGGAAAAGGCAGATTTGGAATGGATTCTGCATCCACTCCCTGGTCTGTGAATGGCTTTGAGCAAGTTACCTAAACTTTCTAAGCCTTGTGGTCCTCAGCTGTAAAACAGGTACTGACAATAATGCTTGCATTGTAGAATATTTGTGAGGGTTAAGTAAGTTAAGACTGAAGAAGGATTTTTCTCAAATGTAATGTTCAGGCAAAGCATCAGGGATCTTCGTAAAACTTTAATTGAATACAGGTCAATGTAAGATCATGCAGTTGTAACAGACTCCAGGAAATTTCAAGGCTGTTGATTCTCAGACCATCTCAATGCCTCAGACAATTTTCTCAATAGCAAAGCATTCAAAGAAGTTGCCTTACTCTTGACACTCTGTAAGTATTCAATAAATTAGCTTTGTTGTGATAATTATTATTGACTCAAGGCCCAGAAATAAACAAAGCATATGACACCATTCCTTTTAGCTTTCTCTGCCTACCTAACTCTAGTGACCCACAAAAACAGTGGATTTCAATGAAAGTTTGGCGACAATAAAACCACAATAGCATTGGTAGTACCCCTAGTAATGGTAAAACAAGAACAGCCTCTCCTAAACCTCAAAAAAATTGTGTTACATAGAGTTTTCAGATGAGAGTTTTCTATATTATACAGGCAGACTTTAAATCCCATCACAAGTGTCTTTATAGGGAAATGACAGAGGGACATTAGATGCATTAGAGACATTAGGTGTTGTGAAAAGGGAGACAGAAAGAATGGAATTTGTTGACCAGGAGCCAAGGGATGCCAACCGCCCACAAAAGCTGAACAATGTAGGAAGGATTCTCCCCTGCACCTTCTGGAGGGAGCACAGCCCTGCCTTGATTTGAACCTTTGGTTTCCAGAATGGTAAATGAATATATTTTTTTGGTTTTAACCCATTGCTTCCTGAAAGTGTCATAGCTCTCATAGGCAGTAAATACAACTTGTTTAATTAGAATATGTGCATGCATGTACAAATAAACTAAATTGCTAATATCTCAAAAGTTAAACATTTTACAGAGCAATTATTTTTCCTTTGCTTAAAGATGCTGACCTTCACAAAAGAAACAGAGACTGATGACATACTAGAAATGATATTTTGACTTAAGAATGTAAGACTTAAAGTCTCACTTCCACTCCACAGAGCGTGAACAGCCAAAAAGGCCTCCACGATGCTGGGCCCTAACACCCAGCGAGGCTCCGGGAGCTCGAAGGAGAAACGAGAAACCAAGGAGGGAGCACACCAGGCCAGATGGTAAATAGACCTTTATTAGTCTGTCCAGAGGGCACTCCCAGAGCCAGGTAGCTCAGAGGCAACTGCTCAGGGGCTGAGGTATTTTTTATAAGGTTTTTCTAAACAAAGAGTCAGGGAATTCACAGAACAAGACTGCAGACACATTGCTTATCTTATGCAGGAAATGTTCTAGGTAACCTTTTGTCATACCATTTGCCCTGGGCAGGCTGTTAGCCAAGGTAGCAATTAGCATATGAAGAAGCACAGTCTGGCCTATTAGCATGGAGTCACTTTAGCTTATTCAAGTCTTACAAGAAATTTTAAAAGGAATTATTCTTTCAAATAAAATGTAGAGTTTCAAAGAAAACTGTCCCTCTTATAACGAAGAGAAAGCCAGATCAAATATAAATTGTAATTAGATAGACATCTGGAATTGAAAAGATCTTTTTTCCTGTGCTTCCCTGACCTATACTGCTCTTCCACCTTCAGGAAACCAAAGAATTTCCACCAATGCTGGGGCTAGGAGGGTTGATCCAGAGAAGGTATTGTGCTCCCTCTCTCCAAGAAATGGATTTGTCTAGAACACCTGGTTTTTTTTGTTTTGTTTTGTTTTGTTTTCCTCATTGAGTTTATTGGTACATTTTAGGTATACAGTACAGTTACATTCATCATTGGGATCTTATAACCTTACATGACAGGTCTTGGTTTTCATTTTTTCCCCTTGTCCCGGCCCTCCCTTCACCCTAGGGCACCTGGTTTTATCACCAAGAACCTGTAGACTGTCTTGAAAGAACCTGGATGGACAAATTAGTTCTTGGATTATCACAGTTTGTCATTCATAATTAACAATATGTTCAAAGGGGTTTTAAAAAGAGAAACTGACAACTTCAAATTCTATACCTATCAAATATTCTTGCCCCAAATTAAGGTGACATAAAGATATTTCTTGAAAAATTCCAACAGAAACGTTCTTCAAGAAGTGTCCAAAAAGGTTGTCAAAACCAAAAAAGAGATGACAGCAGATACAAACTCAAAGCTGCACAAAGAAATGGAGAATGAAGAAAAAGCAAAAATTAAGGTAAATATAAAATATATTACTTTTTATCACTCTAAAAGATAGCTATCACAAAAATAATTACAACATGTTATAGAGTTTATAGCACATAACTGTGAAATGTATGGCAATAATAGTGAAAAGTATGAGAGGGAGGGACTATTGTAAGGTTCTTATAAAGTGATAACATACAAACACATACTGTGATAAGTAAAGATGTATACTGTAAATCCTTGTGTAAGAAAACTTGTACCAGATGCTTTGTAAAACCAATGAGAAAGGCTATTCAAGACTATTGCAGGGCCGGAGATTTAGCCCAGTGATTTCACTGCCTGCCTCGCAAGCGCAAGGACCTCAGTTCGATCCCTGATACCAAAGAAGAAAAGATTATTGCAGCAGAAGAGAGTGATGTACTCAACTCTGCTTACACAGAAGGCAGGAGGATTTTTGGATGCTGGGGGAGCCATGGTCAAGAGCTGGAGGACATCAGGGGTAGGCTGGTCACTCTCAGGAGGCCAAATGCCTTTGCTAACTTTCAATCATCAGAGTCAGATTCAAATACTAGGTTCAGATACATAATTTCAGGTAGCAACTCTATCTTTCTTGGTTATACTTCATTTTTTAAAAGTCAGTTATTTGATCTTTAAATGTTTTATTAGTACATATTCATGATACATAATAAATGCATTCATTAGGGGAATCAGTACATTCACACGTGGGTCACTAAGGAAGGTTTACATCTCAAAAAGCAAACAAAATTTACAGTCACAAGTTTGCTTAAAGAACGCTCTAGGAAGAGAGACCTCAGGGGCCTATATTTAAGAAGACAATTAAATTTAATCAATTTAGGGAGAATTCAAGGCTCTCTTGGTCACAACCTACAACCTGTAAAAAGAAGTAAAAATGAATTAATTTGCACTATGAGGTCAATATTAGAGAAAAATAGAATCATAAATACTAATACAAAAACAGAAAAAAGAGAAAAGGAAGAAAGATGAGATAGAAAACAATTAGAGAGGTGGTAGATTTAAATCAAAGTGTACCAATAATCATGTGTAATGTAAATGGCCTGGATTCCCACCTGAAAAGACAGGTTGTCCGATCATATTAAAAAGCAAAGCCAAAACCACATTAAATACAAAGGCACAGATGGGTTAGGAGAATTAAAACATTAAATGATAGGATGAAAAGATAAAATCAAGAATTTTAGAGTGACTGTATTAATTCTAAGCCAAGAAACATTAGAAGAACGAATATTACCATGAATAAGGGAATATCTGAAAGGGGGGTTCGCGTGCCCTTTCGGGTGCCCCTTCCCAAATAGGCCACTCATGCACCAAGAGGTCCGGCAGGAGATCTTTATTGTAGGGAGGCGAGCAGGAGGCAGGAAGGCAGAGAGAGAGAGAGAGAGAGAGAGAGAGAGAGAGAGGAGGAAGAAGAAGCAGAAGGAGAGAGAAGAACAAAGAAAGGAAGGTCCTTTTATCAGTTTTGGGGTGGGCTATTGCTTATTTATGAGGAATGAGTTACTTTTAACCTATCACAGGCCAGATTGCTTTTATGGGCCCAGTCCTGCAGACACAGGTTTCAACTTTCCTGGACCACTGTGGCCTTGGGGGGGGGAAAACCAGAGATAAGGGCATGAGGTCATTTTAGGAGCCAAGATGTACCAGGAGAATGCAGCCTGTGAGGCGGCGTCACAGCATACTTTAACATGATCAATTCCCTAACAATATCACATAATAGCAAAGAGGTTAATTCACCATGAAGACGTATCATTAACGTATACATGCCCGGAAACAGTGTCAAAACCCATGAAGAGATATGAGATAATAGTGTCTCTTCAACAGCATTGGTGTCACTCAGGAGCTTTCTAGAAATCAGTCTCGGGTCCACCCTTGATTTTAAAATGCAGATCAGATCAATTAGAAATCTGCACTTGTAACAAGACATCCATGTGATTTACATGCATGCTCAAATTTTAAGGATGTTAATATAGCACATTTCACCACCTTTCTGATACAGAACAAGCACTCCAGTGGCACCTTTACATAGCAGCTTCAGAGAAACTGTCAGTTTCATGGCTTTATAAAGCAACAGAATTCACCAATGACATTTGATAATAAAGATTTGAAAATTGGAGAATATATAAAACAGACTGTTGATGACAGGCTTCCCAGCACTATCTAAAAAGTAATTTTTGTCACTTCCACTCTCTTTAGTTATATAATTACTCTAAGATTTTTTAACCCTAAATTGATGTTTTCTAATCCTTGTATTAATGAGCGTTTTAATAGTGCTAAATGGCCTGTCCATTAGGAAGTGCTTCTCAACTCTGGTGTTTTCACAA